GGTCCGATAAACACGGGACGGAAACCGATCGGGAATACGAGTTTAAATTTTAAGTCTGCTCGCGGCGAGTGTAATAACGCATGTCTAACGTCGAGAGATCAGGAATATTCACGATGACTTGGGGGTGCCGCTGTGCCACTGCGAGCGATGTTTACGTCTAAATTATACCGCATGGTAAAATCGCCACGAATCATGACGAGCTACGCGCGACGTAATGTAGGAACTTACAAACTTCCATGAGCACCGCGGTTGGCCGTTTATCGTGAGACGGAAGTTAGAATTTCGGTTTCAACGACAGTCACGGAGATAAACGGCGAGACGCCGCTAGAGGCGCGTCGTAATTAACCTTTAAGTAAGCGTGTGCGCTTTTCAGCTCCCTTTAAGCACCTAATCCACTATCCTGCTAAGATGTATGTTTTTTGAATGCATGTAGTACAAACAACAGACTATGTATATTATAAAAAATGATGTATATTTGGCTAGATGTCTAACGATAGGTGGGAACACGCTCGTGTACGTATAAATTAGGTCAAACTAAACACAAATTTCTTCTACTATTTTGAAAATAACCCCACGGATTTTTGAGTTATTAATTAATGAAGATTAATAAATGTGTTCACATGCGGTACGGTGTAGGGTGTGACAGTGAGTACAACTTGCGTTGTGTGATTGTACATTAGATTAAAACAAAAAAATCCTCTATCATTTTACGAATAATCCGAGATTTTTTAGTTATTAAGTAAAGAAGATTGACCACGCGCGATTAGTGGCGCAATCTGTTTTACTTAACGACTCAGACATTCACTAGGATAATTGTCTACATTACTATGCCTATTAGTGTGCCTTTTTATTTAAATAAGCCATAAAAGAGAAAATTAGCACAAATAAGTAAAAAATGTATTTTTTTCTAAATTAAGATAAGATATTAAATTTAAATGTTAAATGTTAAATTTAATAAAAAATACTTTTCCTATTTATTTATGCTAGTTTTTTATAATTTATTTAAATACAATACAATACAATACACTACAAAATAATATGGATAGTTACCTTACGTAGTCATTTGCAAAATGGAGGAATTTGGCGTTCAGTTTGACGTGATATACGAGCGTCCTCCCATCTATCATCAAATACCTTGCATAGCTTTCAAATTACATCTAGTAGACCACGCGCCTCTAATGAAGAGTTAAATTCAAGACGAGCGCGCGTGACAACGCGCGGGAGAATGGACGAGTAACGAATAAAACTTATCAACAGTCCGTCGCCGCGTCGTGGTGAGTGCAGTCGACAGCATACGAGAATTTGATTGGATAGGTCGCTCGATTGCATATTGCATTCGACGAATATCGAAACCCCTTGTGCTCAATTAAATCCACGACAGCGCGGCGGATGGAATATCGAATTCGCGGAGTTAAATCGCCGGACGGTAAAAAAGGAATTGCTTTCGTGAAATCGTTCCGATACAAGGGAGAAAGAGAAAGAGAGAGAAAGAGAGAAAACGAGAGAGGAATAGATAAAAAGGACAAGCGCCGATGAGGAGGAGAAATATTGACACAATGCGAAGCGTGTCGATTAATTTCGAGTCTTCCCCACATCGTCCCCATTACGTCACGTTTCTTCCTCCCTCCTCCCCTCCCGAGTCATTTACGAATGACAGTTCTTTCACTTTGTCTCAGCACCCGTTGCACAACAAATGTTATAAGCGCACGCGTTTCACGTATCAACATGACGTTTTCCTATAAAACGAGCGCAAAGAAGCGCTTATACCTTTACACAAACGGCGGATAAGAACGAATAATACCTGAAACGCGATACACACAGAAAAAACAAGTTAGCTGAATAAACTAATTTCTGGTGAAATATAAATAAAATCCAGAAATTCTAAATGGAAATTCCTAGAGTTCTGTTCAAGTTAACCAGAAATCTTGATGAGGTAGACTGAATTCTGATGGCTTCAACTGAAATGTCTGTAAATTATTCACACCTAAAAAAAGATATTACTTCTTTAAATAAAATTTTTTATATATAGCTCCGGAGGAATTCTTCTAAAATCGTTCCTTTTTCTAAAAGGAAAATATCAACACACAAAAAGAGAACTCTAGTTACAAGACGCTATTTCCTGTAATCCCATATTTTAAGCAAAAAATCTTACCAAAAAAGAGTATTCCTCTTCTAATAAAGTGAACTGTCAATCGGAAACCTACTAGATATTATCCCAACTTTATTTCTTTTGAACTAACAGGAGTGTTCTTGAAGCAGAATGCTCTCTTACTAGAGAGAGAAGAGATTTTTATTAAAAATAAAACCTATGTAAGATGAAAGACGAAATTCCTCTAACATTAAGAATATTGTGTTTAGAATATCTTCCTTTTGCTCCCAGAGAATCCCATTGAAGCCGTACATAAGAGAATTTCCGCTAAAAATAAGATTATATGTTCCTGGATGCATATTTCAGCAGGAATTGGTTAATCCAGCCGAACTTTCCGTTCCGCAACATTTCTCGTCGATCGCACGTTAATCACTCATCAATCGTTCGTCCATCACACTGCTAGCGTCGGAATTACAACAATGTTGCAGATTATACGGGCACGGCCGGCATTTATCGGAGAAAGCCATTCCGCTAAATTAACCCACTCGCCAGCAAACGCTCGCCCCATTGAATTTCATAGTTATTCCGCAAGTCCGCGACAAAGTTTTTCCTCCTCCCTCCCCCTGCCGCCCCCGCTCCGTAACTCGACGTGTTCTTTCGAACTACTTGCGGAAAATCTTGAAGAATACATTTCGTGTTCGAGTAAGCGACTATCCAGCCGTGCGATGGCTCTCGTCTCGTCGGCGGCCGCGCATTGTCGAAAACAGGCGAATTATTTTTGGTCGACCGATAATCCCGCCGACTTTTCGCTCGCAACGAGAACGTATCAAGGAAAGTTCGGGAGTGCGTTCGGGATCGCTTGAACCGCGGAGAACGGAGCGAACTCTCTCGCCGCGCGAGAAATTAAATCATCGCGCCCGATCCGGCGCGAAACGAATCGCTAAGGCCAGATATTACGCGGATCGAAAAATCCATCCGTACACGTCGCGGCTACGAAAGCCGCGTCAAAGCTTTGAAACAGAAAACCGATAGGAACAACGTAAAACTATCCTATGTCGATTCTATTCGATTTTACGCGCCTGCCCAACTTTCATCACTATTCTCTCTCTCTCTACTCTCTCACTTCTCTCCCCCCTTTCTCTCTTCCTCTTTCTCTTTTCCTCTCGCTGTATTATTTATTTCTCGTTGATTCTCGCTCAGATTTTTCAACCGTATTCCCTTACCTAACGACTTCCGACAGGTATCAGGATAAATGTTATTTTATGTTCTCGAATGTTCTATTCGTGCCATTCGTTCCATAATAACGTTATCTACCTTCACGTCAAGTACATGCCCGTGTGTTTTATGGAGAGGGAATTCATAAAAGTATATATTTCACCTTAGCATATACCTTAGCAATTGTTTGACATCGAAGACACATGATATATTTCGGAATAACACATATCCTTCTTCCGTCACATCGCTTCTTATTTCTATTATTAAACTCTGTTTCTCCGAGAAACCAATATCCTTGTTCCTCCCGGTCCCTTGCTCTGCGCGCAATCTCATAATTTCTTTGAAATGTGTCTCTGTCTCAGCCAAGAATGTACCTCGATTCTTTCAAATTACTTCCTCTGGTATAAAAGTGCAATGCTGAGTCCGCTGCTCGTATTTCCTCAGCGGAAAGAGCGGATCTCGTTGAGTAAATGTTTAACGCTCTAATATATTATTTCCCATCTAATATCTCACCTCAAATATTCTTTTCGTCACCGCACGAAGTGCTGATTACAGCGGAACGAGAAACGAAGACACGAAGTCTCTTGGGCTGAGAGAGCACGGCGCTGTAATTTCATCATTGGCGTAAAATTTCGATCACACCCGGCCGTGGGACCGGCGACCTGCGGATTACGGGAATTACGTCGATTTGTCGAGGAGTCAAAATCGACGGGGATCGGATTAGTGTCGGCGATCGTGAAACCGTGACGGGGTGGCCATAGGTGATCTAGAGCGTGCAGCACGATCAATGCAATGCTACGCTCGATCCCAAACGATTCAGCACGGTTCAGCGCGACTCCAGCCACGAGATAGAAGCGGGGCATCGTGACGTCAATGCACGCTTCCCTAAACCCTTGTCGCCGCATTACAGTCGATCGAGGGTAATTTGGTCCGCGCTGGCGGAAGTAAAATTGCGTGGTGGAGACGCGTGAAATTCGCGCGAGCGTTGCCCACCCCCGAGGCGCGTTCCTTCGTAATCGTCCGAAGCGAACGAACAAAATGGCTGCCACGCGTTATTTACTTTATAATGTGCAGTAATTGGACTGTTTCTGGAACTAGAAAGTTACTCTATGAAAACATTGTACTCACACACTCATTGTACTCTCTATAAGCTCATGTTAAAGCAATCTAATTTAATGGTGTGTAACGTTTTGTAGCAACATATTGCATTGAAATTGTCTCCCAACGCACGCAAGTATGATTCTAGAGAAGCCAAGAGTATTTTGCGGCATTTTTTCAATATTTTGAAAAATCCCCTTTACCTATCTCAAGTAACAGCCGCTTATTATCAAAATTATTTTTTATATAACATCATATACTCTTGCGTTCTTCCTATCCCTGCAATCAAGACTTACGAGAAGCACAACCTATCAGTCAACACCGCAATCTACGAGCATATATCGGCGCAGAGCCATTTCATATCGACCGTATTCCGCCAAACAGAGACGACGGAATCTCTCTTGACGATAAGAAAAAGAAAAGAAGAGTGAAAGAAAACAAATAATTGATACAGCACTGGGATCAGAATTATCAATGAACGTATTCCATGATAAGGGCATTTTCCCTCTTTCTCTCTCTCTCTCTCTCTCTCTCTCTCTCTCTCTCTCTCTCACTCCTCCTATCCTTCGTTACTGTTCAAGGTGAATCGTGATTTTACCCGCCAGGAGATCGAATCTGGTCCTGCTCCTCTCGCTGTCCTCGTAGCCCTCGAGGTCGTCCTCGTAATCGTCGTAATCGTCAGGGACGCGTTGGTCCCCTTCCTTGTCGCTGACATTTTGCGAGAGATTGTTGCTGGGTGCCTTCTGGCTGGTCTGTCGTACGCGGGCCCGATGATCGTTACTGAAGAGGACCGACGGCGGCGGTGGCGTCGACAGCTGAGAGCCCTGAAGGCGACGCTGAAGGTACCGAGCCAAGAGCGCCTGCACCGCGTCTGTCTCCGCCGTGCCTGGAAGACAGAAAGAGAGACTCGCTCTTGTGATCAGTCGACAACATCCTCCCAACATCTTACGATATCATCGATACTCTCGGTCCTTATGTCCGCATTCCTACTTCGTCTTTGCTCTCGTCTCGTCTCGCCTTATTCGCTTCGCTTCGCTTCTCCCGCTGTCCTTTTACTTTTCATTCTCTTGTTTTGTTGCGTTTCTCGTATCGCCAGTTCTCTCTTTCTCTCTCTGTTTTTTTTTTGTTTCTTTTTCTCGTTTTCTGCGACGCGGAACTGTTCCTTTTCTTTTTTTTTTTTCTTTAGTTTGAAGACGAAAGAGCTCGGTGGCTCGTTCGGGGACGTCGAGGGTCGAGGGGTGGTCTTCTTCCTGCATGATGCGTCGTATATGCACCTTGCGTGTGCGAGCATGAAGATGTACGCGATCCATGCCCCGATGAGGCGGGCATTCGGTGATGGGCGTGAGAGATCCGTCGTGTCAGTGTGGCGGAGAAATCGATAGATTGACGTGGATTATACGACCTAAGCTCGCCAGGTCTGGGAGTAAAAAGTGATCGTGTCCGAAACGATCTCGGGTGCTCGCAGTCACTTGCAGGGGGATGAAGGCTGCCCTATTTTTCACGTGGGAAATTGGCGAAGCAACGGGGAAACGCACAAGTAGTCCGCAAAATCTCGCGCTATTTCACATGTCATCGTCAGTAACAGCAAATAAAAAATATCGAATTTGAGTTAAATTGTTAAATTAATTTATCCTCCGCTTTCGCTACCTTTGAAATGATAACCAGGGTTATTGTCTCTTCTTCGATCTTTCTCCTCTTGAGATGCTCGAAAAAATCCCCGAAGAAATGATTGAAGCTTTCTTTTCCTTTCTGGTTGAAGAATACATAGCTTTTTGTGAAAAAGATTGTTAAGTATTCTATTTTCTAACAAAAATACTGCGAGAAACGAGCATCTTTTAGAATGACCCGGGCATAAATAAACTCGGTGGCCACTTAGAGGGTTAAATTAATTTGGAATACTATCGCTCATAACTGCTCATAATATGCAAATAACGAAAAAATATTCAACGAGTCGAGAGCGCTGCTCAGCCGGAAAGTTTCGTCGACAGTTGATATTAAAGTAAGATCTCAATAACGTGGTCCACAATCGAAATACGATGCATCAGTATTGGTCGTGTTTGAAGTAACTAAAGACACGGTCATCCAGCTTCAGTTTCGACGTATCAGGGAACGTAAACACGCGAGCGAGCGTGCCCCTAATGTGGAAACAGCAAACGCGACTGGACATTAGAGCCCGGAAAATACTTCATTAGAGCGTTCCGTCTCGTCTGCGTTTGATGTTGAAGAGCGTCCGCGAATTGTCGGCACCATATAGATACGCGGTGTCGCGACTACGTCGACGATGGATGGAAGGATTCGCAAACTACTCCATGTCGCGTCGTGTAAGGTACGATCAACGCCCATCAAGTTCCATCGATCGTCGCGCGCGATGAAAGAAGGATCACTGCTTAGAAATCGCTAATATTGGGTCTAATCTCGCTAATCTCGACGACGACTCGCGAGGCAAAACGTCTGTGGAGGCATTCGGTAAGTTCCCTGTACTGACATTTGTACGTGACCATTCCCATGCATTTTCATTTCTTGAAAGTATCTCAGATTAGAACGATGCATATATCAAGGTAAAAGTACCAATGCAGGCGAGTATTTGGCATTTATGGCAACATTTGCTATCGTTATCCACCTTTTTGCCACCTTTCAAGTAAATAAAGTTTGCAAAAACTCTCATTCCGCATGTGCAAAGTGACATCTTTTAAGTTAACGAACCTATGCGATCCAGTAAATTTTTGTAAGCACCTGACACATCAAGAAAAATTAATTGCTGCAGATTTCTATAATATTAGGTAATGCAAACATTTGAAAGAGCATCCCTATAATTACGAGCAATAATAATTAAAGTAAAAGTATCAATGAACACACATTTAATCCTGAACATTCTTATTGTCTTAGCCTATAAATGTAAATATTTGAATTTTCACAATATATGTATAAACAGGGTTGGGAAGTAACTTATAATGAAGTTACAGTTACAGTTACATTTTTTCAGTAACTGTAACTTAACTTAGTTACTTTTTCCCACCTATAACTGTAACTTAACTTAGTTACTTATTTTTAGTAACTTGTAACTTTTTAAATAATTACTTTAATAGTTACTTGGGGAACGTAAAATAAAATTAAAATTATATAGTAATCGTATATTAATTTAATAATTCAAATAGCACAGAGAATTAAAAAAGAATTTAGTCGTACGTCACCAATTCTGAGTTCATTTTCAGATGCAAAAGGAATTCTTCAGAGTTTAGTTTAATGAAAAGAATTCTTTTTGCATTTAAAAATAAATTCGGAATTGGTGACATACGACTGAATTCTTTTTAAATTCTCTGTGCTATTTGGGAAATTTATCAACGTATTGATGGAATATATGATTAAATTCTTTCACCTCTACAAGGCTATTATTAAATTTTTATTATATTAAGTACACATTTGAAATTTGTTAAGTGGATTGACTAATTAATGTGACAGATATTAATTATAAAATTCAATTCTTACATTTTAATAAAGCTTAAAATGTAAGATTTTTGTATTTACAATAATAATTTACAATCATTTCAAGAAAGTAACTTAAAAGTAACGACTCGTTACTTTTAGAGTAACTGTAACGAGTTACTTTTCATAGTAACTTGTAACTGTAATTAGTTACATTTTCAGCAAAGAGAACTTTGCTAAAACTAATTACTTTTAAAAAGTAACTTTCCCAACCCTGTGTATAGATATATTTTTGTTAAAAGTTTAAGTATTCTTATTTAAAGGCTAAAACAATAAAAATGTCCATAATTAATCACCTCTCTGTTAAAAAAATAAATAAATAAGAAACAACGTTAATTTTTAAATAACGATCTTATAAAAAACCGACGTGTTGCGGATTTCGCGTAGCCTCAAAGGAGAACGCGATAACGAATGATTAAAGGTACCGCAGGGCCGGACGGAGTCGTTCGCAGGAGCTGAAGGATTTGCGGCGACGAGGAATCCAATTTTCGGCGAGGTCCAGCATCGAGGACGAGTGCAATTACATCGACTTCTATCCTGTAAGCCTGTTCGCTAGTGTGGCTAGTCTCGTAATTGAATTGGATCGATTGTATCGCGCGACTCCGCGTTACTTCTCCTTGCCCCTCTCACTTCTTGTGTCTTTTTCTCCTCTCGTTCCTGTTACCGGAGGCCAGCTCGTCAAACAGTTATTCCGGACAAGGGCCTGCTATAATTAAATCCTGCACGAGCGTTGATCCCATTATGAAAAAGCAGCCAGTAAACCGACGGAAAACACGAGCAAAGTGCCGCGCTACGCCGCGTCGTTTTCTTGTTATATTTCGCGCGAGCTGGAAAATGCACGCTCGGGTTGACCGCAAAGGATCAACCTTCCGACACGGAGGTGAGAGAGAGAGAGAGAGAGAGAGAGAAATAGAGAGAGAAAGAGTGAGAAAGAAATGCCCAAGCAAGGATTTCAAAGTCACCGGGATCTTTTTGCGCGCGTGAATGCGGAATCTTGTTAGCCTTGCCTTCGCGCATGCAGGCTAATTCGCCGAGCGTTCGTTAAAGACAGCCGACCATTCGTTTTCGTCTCATTTTATTCACGCTTTATTCATCGATTTGTTAACCACGCCTTGTTGAGCCGCGATAATTTGTGTCTCGTTCATTCCACCGTTGTGTGACGCTATAAATATCTCGCAAGCGGCACAAGTATATAATGTTTATATGTTTCCTCGGGCGACTTTTCCAACGCACTTTTCGCGATAACTCGCGTGTGCAATTTGCAAATTCTGTTCCCGCAACTTCGTTACAACTGCGCCATTTTTTCTTTTTTTCGAACTAACACGCCGAATTAATGACACGAATTTACATATCGCGCGCAAGTTTCATTCGCAAAAATTGTGTGATTGTATGCAAAACAAATCGGGACGCTCATTTAAATGGTATTGATACGCTCTCTCGGGAGGTGAGATAGGGGGTAGGAATGGGGAAATTGCTAAAAATACTGATGGAACGTTTGAAAAAATATCGGACGGAGTTGCGAGCGATAATAACGTATCGTCCAAATTTTCTGTTCGGCTTCATGCGAAAATCAAACACGACCAAAACTAATATTTGTCGGGCGTTACGACAATTAGAAAAATTCTAGCGCGCGCGTCCGCAAGACAACACAACGAGTCGGTTGCTCGATATCGGAAAAATGATCAAACACTCGCGCGCCGAAATATCCCACTGGCAAGCGTTTCCATCTGTTTCCAACGGCAAAAAAGACCTGTAGTAATCACGCGGGCAGTCCGGAAACATTCGCCAAGCGAATTTTATCCTTCATCACGTCGAAGATTACGCGAAAGCGTTGGAAACTGCGTTCACCGGCTGACTACGCCGCGTAGTTTCAAGATTGGAGCTGCTAAATTATCTGCAAAATTATAACAATCGTAGCATCTTGAACATTTACAATCGCTTTGACTTACTCAGAGATAGTAATGCACATATATTTTCTTTTTAATTTAATTCAATTATTTTTCAATTTTTTAATTTATCCTTCCGTGTACAATGTTGGGTTTGTGAAACCCGAACAAATATTCAATCGTTCATAAACTCTCGTAAAAACTGTCGTCCGGAAAAATTTTTAAATAACGTAGATTTATATTTGTAAATTCTGATTTTATCGCTCTACTATTTATAGCTAGAACTTTTCTACAAATATTGGACTATCATAACTTCGTCGAAAATCAATATTTTTGGACACATTCCTTGTCAGATAAACTGAGAGAAAAAATATCTAAAAAATAAAAAATTCGGTGGGTAACAACATATTTGCTTATACTAGTATATATATTTTTACGTGGCAAAAATATTTTTCAAATGAAGAATATATATATTTTTAAAATCTTGACTTATCCCCCCCCCCCCTATTGGGACAAA